ACGTCGACATCTACCACTTTAAGAAACATCCAGCGGCTTGATTGTCTAGATATTGTTCTTCTTTTCATACTTAATGCTACATCAGTTGAGTTTGATCTATTAAGTCGTGCTTAGAATATCAATCTCTAGCCTGTATTCTGGCTGCCGATTAGGGTAGTATCGGAGTTTCAGCCGATCTTATCTGATTTAACCATATTTGATCTATATGCTTCAATGACATGTTAAATCCGCCCTTTGTGTCAAGATATCGTTGCAATCTAAATATATTAAGCTTCTGTTTAATACATCATACATGTTTTAATATCTTGATATAGAGTAGTATCGGAGTATTAGCCGATACACGCTAGATCTATATGATCGGCTATGCTATAAACATATATAATCCTGTTATTAATATATATTTCGATCTAAGTGATTTATACTGTCTCGACATGGTGACCGATCTATCCCAATCACTTGATTTAAGTATATATTAATATCAGAAATATATATCGTTAGTATCTACAGCCGATCGAATAGATTTAGTTTCTTACTATCTATTTATAACCGCCGATCGATTCATATAGGACATCGGCTCAAAGATAAATGATATGTCATCGGCACCTAGCCGATCGGCTATCATTTATAGATTTAACCACGAATTCTTTGTCTCTATTTCTTGTTGATTATAGGATCAAATCAACTGGCACGTTCATACATTCGAAGGCGAGCTTTGGACCTGCACTGGAGTTAAGCAGATCTCCCAGGCCTCGTGTTTTCTATCAACATAAACGTAGACTAATAACAAAACAAATTACAGATTTCGTCTGTAAACCGCGAGACGAATTTATTAAGCTTAATTAATCCCCACAAAGAATTTTTTTCCCTGACAGTGCTATAATGGTCGTGTTTAGTTCTTTGGCCAAATTTGAAGTATTAAACGTAGACTAATAACAAAACAAATTACAGATTCCGCCTGTAAATCGCGAGACGAATTTATTAAGCTTAATTAATCCGTTATTAGCAAATATTTACTGTAGTATCACATTATCAAATCATGGCGCAATTAGGCTCAAAAAATTTGTTTCGCAATTTACATGCAAACTGTGTAATTGGTTTTTATTCGTCTACTTTATAAACATTGTCATGCAAACTGTACAATTGGTTTTTATTCGTCTACTTTCTAAATATTGTCATGAAAACTGTGCAATTAGTTTTTATTCGTCTACTTTCTAAACATTGTCAAATCATGGCGCAATTAGGCTCAAAAGATTTGTTTCGCAATTTACATGCAAAGGTTTTTATTCGTCTACTCTTTTTAGAATTACACTGTACTACGCAAGATTCGTTTCGCAATTTACATGTAAGCCGTTTAATACTGAAAAATTCGCTCCCATGGGAGTCGTCGTTTCCCAATTTACATGTAAGCCGTTAAATCCTGAAAAATTAAGCATAACGCCGTTAAATTCTGGAAAAATCACTCCCATGGGGAGTCAAACCCAGGAGCTTAGGTGTTACTGAGGCTCTTGTAACCACTAAGTTACATACCCTTTCGCTTATTCGTCTACTTGTAATGCTTCGGGTGTGTTTAGTTCCTGAAAAAGTTAAAAGTTTGAAGAAAGTTGGGAGTTTGAAAAAAAAGTTGGAAGTTTATGTGTATAGGAAAGTTTTTGATGTGATATGATGTGATGGGAAGTTGGGAATAAGGAGTAAATTAAACACGGCCTTCATGCATGTGTTTAAACATTTGATGTAATATTTTTAGCTAAATTTTTTTTTATCTCAACACACCCAATGTTGTATTCTTCTCTGACTCTCCGATGATGATCTGACCCGGAAGATCGAACGAGGAAACATTCATTGTTGCGGGTCAATGGCCGAGTTAGCCGCGGCAACGCAACGACGAGATTGGTGATGAGGTGATGGGGGGTCACCGGTTTGAAGTTTAAACACGGCTGCTACGCAGAACGCCCCTTTTCTGGCTGACGTTTCTCGCGTGACACCGATCGCCGCTGTGCCACAAAACCCGCACGACAGCGACGCGTGGAGTCGTGCACCGCCCGCGCCCGCGGCTGAACACGCCTGCAAGCGAAAGAAGTTATCTGGACTTTGGAGATTTGATCGGATCAAACCTTGCCGCTGCCGGACTAGAACTAAACGCCGAGAGGGGTTGCGATCGCGGCGTCTGCTTCTGCAGCCGCACCCCGCGGATTGACACGGCCACACGGGCACGGTGTCGCGCGCGCGGGGACAGGCACGCAGGGGAGAGGCGTGGTGTGATGGTGTCCCGTGCACGGCCGCGCGCGTTCACGTGCCAAGAGATGGGCAGCGGCTAGACGGCTGCATATATAATGCAGGCATGGCCCCGGGCGTACACGTATACACCTGCGTTTAATGAGCCGATGAGAACGACTAACCGGGGCGATCAGCTTAAGTTCTGGATACGTACAAAGGTGACCCTTTCATGGAATTTATTGTACTGACACTGTGGTGCCCGAATCCGCGATCGTGTACGACTGAAGACGTAGGGCCTGTTCACTTGAATGAAAAAAAACCTTACCAAAATTTGTTACAAAATTTTAGTATAGTTGTTAAAATTTTAGTAACTTATCAAAATTTGATAGCAAAATAAATATAGCCACTTTTTAGCAACTTTAACAAAATTTGGTAAGGTTAAAAATAGCATCAAAGTGAACAGGCCCTAAAATTTTGACATAGTTGCCAAAATTTTGGCAGGATTTCTTATATAGTTACAAAAATTTGGCAGCAAACTAAATGTAGCTATTTTTTTTTGGTAACTTTACCAAAATTTGATAAAGTTAAAAATGGCATCAAAATGAACACGCCGTAGTGTTGCGTACGTAGAATCCAAGACGAGACCAGCTTTTGTACGTACAGTCCCGTCATTATGGACTATGGAATCGGGAAATCCTCTACTGTTAAATAAAAATCTGACCGGAAAGGACACGTAGCACGTAGCTGGGCCGATCGCTCGCTCACACGCATACGGACAGCGACTTACACTCAGACGCACGCTTTGATCGGATCGCATCGCATCGCAGCAAAAGGGCATCGTTGGAGCCGTGGCCGCGATCGCCGTCCGGCGGCTCGCGCGAGCACTAGCTAAAAGCCGTCGCCACACGCGGTGGCGCGCGTGGCCGCGTGGCGGCAGCGGCAAGCCGGCAAGTGTCGTCTTCCTTCCCGGAGCACTGGGGCTGCTCAGTGGGCTGCACATTGTTCACGCACAACGGCACAAGTGATGCCCTTCTCTTTTTTTTTTTTTTCCCTTCCTCCTCCTTTCAGATCGGAGGTTGTGAGTGAGTACTCCTACAAATGATTCATAGGAAAGTCAGCCCTCCTACGTGTTCGTCATCCGGTGCCCGACTCGGAGCAATCAGGAAAAGAGAGACGCTCCATCACCACACGTCGCCGTTTTTGCACTGAATTATGAACCGCAACAAGATCGATGAGCCCGATGCGCTGCACCGACACACGATCACTCACCACTCATCAGTCACACACACTCGCAAAAAGGGATCACCTTTATCACCTAGCCAGTCGCTCGGCCACATGTAGTAGGAGTAGAGCCCAAAACCTCCCAAATCGTGTAACGCACAACACGATCAGAATGTCGCTGAGACGACGGTAGGCGCGGTAGCTGCAGCAGCAGGGGAGCAATGGACGACGTGAGGTTTTATTGGCACCGAGACGCGACCTACACCAACACCCGACATTGCCTGCGAGGGTGGGCCTTTCCTGCCGGCCAACGCCGAGACGGCACCCGTTGCCGTTGGGTGGTTGGTTTTGGTTGGCCCGAGCCAATCGGCCGAGACGCTACGGCTCGCCCGTGGCCTCTCGTTCGCCCGCGCCGGGGTGGCGTGTCAACTGTCAATCGATCGCCCTCGGCGCGCGCCGAGGCACAGCGCGCTCATCACTCGCCCTCGCATAAAGCGGCTCGTTGTCACGGTGCCACCGATCGATCGTTTCTGGGGCGTCGTCTTCTCCGTGAAGGGAAAAAATGAGCGAGAAGGAGAGGATGATCGAATGATCGGTCCCTCTGTTCGCGAGAGCAACCTGCGCCCACCAGCTCGATCAAAAGAAAAGGCGTGCTGCGCGCGTGTCGACCTGTTGATTCACACCTCTCGAATTATCCGCGGTCGTGGTTTTGTGTAGTGTGTGTCGTGTCGTGTCGTTCGCTCGCAGGAACGCACGAATGGTGACGGATGCTTCATCAGGACGCCAGGCCCTGACCCTCTCTCTGCTGCTGACTTGTGCGCTCGATCTTATCGTCTCGTGGAATCCTTGATTTCGTTATCGCCATGGGGACGTTCAATCGTGCCAGGAGATTCCTGGCCCGCCGTCTAGCGAGCCACACACAGGCTTCTGGAAAAAAACCAACACTACCGTCTCTTTTTCTTTTTCTCCTCTATTTTTATGTGCGCGCGGTGCGTGCGGCTGCCTACTGGTGCTACTCACCGATTTTGGCTGTATTTAGGGGTGTAAAGTTTTAACGGGTCACATCAAATATACGAACATATATTTAAATCACATTATAAAATTACGCCACAATTAAATTTAAAAGATTTGTCTCGCAATTTACACTCAATCTGTATAATTATTTTTTTTTCTATATTTAATACTGTGTTGGTTGACCTGTCGAGCACCGAGCACGTAATGCGCCTGAGATCAGGTGTGCTCGTCGCATGCAACGCACGCCCGCACGCCCGCGCCGCGGAGGGGGTGGGTGGCCAACCGGCGCGTGTATCCGAGACGAGCGAGAGCCCGCGTAGAGCGCGTCCGTGCTTTTCCCGGCGATCACATCATCGCGGAAGGTGGTGGACTGGTGGTGGGCGCGCGCGCGCAGCCACCAAAATCGTCGCTGCTGCTGGTGCCGCCTGCCACTGCCAGTCTCGTCTCGGGCGCGGGTCCCCCCCTCCCCACAAACAATCCCGCTGTCTTTCTCGCTCTCTATCTACCAACGCGATTGAGATAGGAAGGAGAGAGAGAGGAAGAGGAGTCTCGGGTGGTGGCGCCATCGGCGGTGGGACCCGGGAGCCGCTACGGGAGGCGTAGACGACGACCGGGGAGGAGAAGAAGAAGAAGAGGAAGATTAGGCACGAGCAGGAAAAGAATAATTAGCGAGCGCCCGGGTGGTGTACCCATCTGTATTCATCATTTCCGCGATTCCACCCTCTCTCTCTCTCTGCGGCCGCGCCATCTCTATCCGGGCTCAAGGGTGTGGCCGGGGGGCGACGAACGCCGCTCTCTCTGCCTTCCTCCTTGACCGATCGCTCCCTTCTGACCGCCTTAATATTCTGGAAAGATCGGTTCTTGCCTTCTTGGGCTGCTTCAGGGGCGTGGGAGAGGTTTGGGGTTGGTTCATCTCGCGGGCTTGGGCGGCGGGAGGAGGAGAGGGGTTTTGCTTTGTCTCCTGTTCCGACTCTCCGGTTGATTCCTCCGACTGAGTTCAGGGGGAGTTCTTCAATCAGGAAGGTCTTGACTCTCGACGAGGAGGTTCGTTCATTTCCGAAGTGTTTTTTCTCTTCTTGGTTTATGCTGTTAACGTGTACTGTATTGTTGCTTGATTGTTGTTTATCTCGTATTAATAATCTGAGCTATTAGGATCCTTTTGTTAACAAAGTGAGGTTTTTTTGATGGTTTCGATGAACAGTGAACCTCATCTTCCTCGGGTGTGACTTGTGATTTGGTACTTTAGTATTGGGTAGTTTAGCTGTCTGCCTTCTCCCGTCCTGTTCGTTCCCTGGAGACCAAAACCTTACCTTTGTTTCTTTGTATTGTTTCAGTTTGCACGTTTTAGGTCCATTCCTTAATACAAAAAGGGGTTAATTTTGCATTCTTCTCTGCTCCTTCTTCATTCTCCTTGTATGGTAGTCGATCTGGTTGGGGTTTAAGCCTCATGATCAGAGAATTCTGTAGAATTGAATGGTTCTTGTGCTTCAGTGCTTGTGTTAGGCTCCTTCCAGAAAATCTCTTGCAAGATTCAGGTATGCTGCCTTGGTACAGTTGGCAATGTGAAGTGACAACCTTAGAATATACTACTTTCTCCGTCCCAAAATGTAAGCATTTTTGAGGTTGGCACGGGTATTAAGAAAGTAGGTGAGAATGATTGAAGAAGGTGTGTGATTAGTTGAAAAGAGAAAGTAGGTGAAAAAGAATGGTTGTGATTGGTTGAGAGGAGAAGGTAGGTAAAAATAGCTTCATTTTGGCACAAAGTACTGTGCTAGAAATAGCTACATTTTGGGACGGAGGTAGTACTAATTTAGTATTAGTGTGCCCTTTGTCTTATCAGGCGATTCACTTCTGTACCAATCTACATGGATATATGAAATTGGCCCGTAGCCTTGAAAAAGCACTATAGTTTTGAAACAATTTTGTTTGTCAAGTTCTTAATGCTCTTCCTGTGACAATACAAGAAAGTTGACAAGAATCTAAAACGTACAACTGACCACATATGCATTTGCTCAGGAAGATGAAATAATATTGCGAGCTATACTAATAAACTGATAACATCATAACACCACTTTTACACCTATCCAGTGGGTGCTTAAAGAATTGAATACAATGGTTTTGACCAATTAGTTGGCTTCAACCTACGGTAGGAATTCAACTGAAAGGTGTAAATTCTGTTAATTGATCAACAATATAGCAGTATGTTGACCTAATTAGTCGATTTTTGGCAACACTGGGAGACTGGGAGTCAGGCTTGGGTGTGTATCTAGCTAGAACTTCTGTGTGTGCAAAGGATGTATCCTGACCTATTTGGAATCAGCCATTTTTTATACGTTGTACAATTTATCTGCAAATTTATATTAGCAAACACTTTTTTCAATAGCACGCAAAAGGCTCGCATGCCATTTTTTATTTATAAAAGATGAAAAACATTAGCTACAGCAACAACCACGCCCCATGATAAGATGGGTGATGATACAGCATGGGGTAGTTGCTAGAGACTTTACTAAGATAAACAATTTATTAAATGTCCAAATGTTATCTTCTCTTTAGTTTAGCTTGTTTAAAGTGAATAGTATCTACTAGAACAAACCTTTTTACAACAATTGATAGTTCTCATCAAAGAAAACACAATTGATTTTCCCTTGATTCATGACCACTAAAAACTTTGAGAATCAACATTTGTTTGATTGAATTATCCTATCCTAAATCGAGAAAAAATAATTATGCATGTCCTTCCTACTTTGGTAAGATGCACTTTAATTTGATCCGGTTATTACCTTCTGTGCTGAAACAGTTCAAGGTTCTTGGATTAAAGATTGGCAGTCATTCATCGTGGATGGAGAATAGGAACAAAGAAGATATGGGTCCATCCCAGCGTAATTCTTGCCCTAAGGTAGAATGCTGAATTACTCCCTCCTTTTTACTAATATTTTAACTATCGTTCAAGCATAAATTCTGTGGCTATTTGCCACTTTCATGCAAGCGAAAGCACTCTTGCAAATGGTGGGGCAGTAACGCTCGTTCCCGTGATCCCAATTTTTTGGCCCTTTGTGGCATGGTGATGGTGTCATGTGAAGCTAAATGCTAGTGACCGTTGAAGTTGTAACATTAATATAAATATCATCATGTAAAAGGAGAAGAATGAATCCTCATATTGCAAGCTTTCAAACCTGACTCTCAAGAGACAACTCGATTTTCTGGGAATGGATATCTAGACTGAATAATAGAGTTTATTCTCATTATCTAGTGTGTCATTGTAAAAAAATTATGTATTCGTCCTATCCATTTCATATTCCCCATTATTTGTATGTTTCTTATTCGATTGTTTTGCTCTGTTAGGTTCACAGCTCAATGTGCAGTGAGCTGACAATGATGTTAGATAAAGTCTCCTCTATTCTTCCATTAATTGAGGCAGCTCGACCAGGATGTAAAGCAGGTATACAGGAATTATGCAACCTATACAATATAGTTGAGAAAGGGAAACTCATAATTCAGCACTGCGTTGAATGTAGCAAGCTCTACTTGGTAAGTTAATTCTTGTGTTTATTGGAAACTAAGAATATGATATCCTTCATTTATTACTGATTTGCTAATTATTATTATTTTACCATTTGATGATTGTGTGTATGTATTTGTGTTCAGGCTATTACTGGAGAGGCGATTGTATCTCGGTGTGAAAGGATCAGAGACTCACTTAGGCGGAGCTTGTTCCTGATTGAGAACATGGTCCCACCAGCACTAGCTAATCAGGTTAGTTCATTTTGTGATCTTTGTTGTTTTACTCTATCATGTCAGCCTCACAAACTCAAAGTCATTATACTGTTTATAAGTTAAATAACAATTTTTTTTTGCTTCCCTCATGTGCATGAATTGCTATATAGCTTTTCTTTTGGCCAGTAAATAAAAGCAATACTGAAAGATATCTTGTATTCTTGGAATTTGATTTTGTCTTCTCCAAACAACTGAGTTTTCAAAGGTCTCCAGACCTACTTCTGTAAAGTAATATGATTTAACTTGAAATACTAGTAATTTATAGAAGCACCTGCAATAAGCAGCAAATTGATCAAAACATGCTTCTTATAACTTGCAGTTAGAGGATATATCACTTTTATCATGGAATTCTGTGTATTGCTATGATATCTTTCTTGCAACTACTTCTCATTTGCTTGATTGTTTATGAAGTTACTTTTTCTCACAGATTGTTGACGTCCATGATGATCTTGGGGACATAAAATTTGTTATTGATCCCACAGAAGAAGAGGCTGGCAAAACCATTTTAGAGATGCTTCGGCAATCTGATGTGACTGAAGAACTTGAACTTGAGACATTCCTGCAGGCAGCTTCAAACTTAAACCTGACATCTCCTAAATCTATGCTAATTGAACGAAGGGCTATCAAGAAACTGCTTGACAAGATTAGCGGTACTGATCCCAAAAAGGAGGGAGTTCTTAAGTTCCTTCTATACCTTGTTAAAAAGTATGGAAAAAACATCAAACCAGAAACTGGTGAGCGGAATGAAAACATGCAATCTGAAAGCCAGTCTTCGACTCCAAGCTCAAGTTTTGTTAGTGATACCAGCACTCCTGGAAAGTGGTACACACCCACAGACATCCAGAGGAATGAGGATCAGACTAGTATGTCAGGAGCAGCCACACCACCTGCAGAGTTCTGTTGCCCAATATCAACAAAGTTAATGCGTGATCCTGTCATAATAACATCTGGGCAGACTTATGAAAGAGAAAATATTGAGAGATGGTTTAGGGAGGGATATGATACCTGTCCCAGGACACATATAAAGCTAGAAAATTTCGCGATGATTCCAAATACTTGCATGAGGGACCTCATTTTCAATTGGTGCAAAGAGCATGGTTTCATAATCTCAGATATTCTCCCTCCATCCAAAAATGCATACAGTTACTTGCCGGAGCAATTGCATGGTTACTCCATGTCAAGTCTGCACAATGTTTCAGTACCTCTAATTGCTGGAAAAGTCAGGGATTTTGTGATTGACCATAGCACTTCATCTGTTGCATTATCTGAGGCCAGTTATATGTCAGATTCATATCATGTGCGGGACATGGAGGAACCGAAAGATAGTTTTTCTCAGTTCTCTTGGAGTGCGGACTATCAAGAGTGTTTGTCTTTTCGCAACTTCAACCAGGACAAGTTCCTAAGGTTCTTTTACGAGCTGTCGAAGCTCCCATTGGAACTCCAAGACAGGTCCATTGGTGATTTGAAGATCATTCTCAATGAGGAAAATGAGGCTTCATGTGCTATGGTTTCCAATGGATTTGTAGAGGCATTCTTTGATTTCTTAATGAATGAAGATGGAAGCTACAGTATGCAAGCTCAGAAAGTTGGATTTCAGTTCTTTCGTGTTTTTCTTTCCAATAGCAGGTAACCACATTTCCTCTGACAAATGTGTTCCTTTCATCAGTTTTATATTGAAGATCATTTGCTCTCATAGCTCACAATCAGAATGAAGGTTTTTTAACAACATATTTCTTTGACGTACAGGACTAATATTCTACACATGAATGAAGAAGCATTCCGTCTATTTGCATCCTTTATTGATTCTGAGTTAAAAACCGAAGCTTTGCTGACACTTCACGAGCTGGTTCAACACCTGAGTTGTCGACAATCCCATTTGATGGCCTCTATTATCACTCCTTTATTGGAGTCTGAAGATGCCGAGGGTCTCAAGCTTTGCCTGAAGATTGTCTGCAATCTTTCATCTGATTCGGATGTAAAACCATACCTAATTTCACTGGGAATTGTCTCAAGATTGTCACCCATTCTTTCTGAAGGAACCTTTGCTGAGTGTTGCTTGGAGATTTTGCGGAACCTGTGTGATGTGGAAGAAGCCACAGTGCTTATTACAAAAACTGATCGATGCCTTGGTTCCGTTGCAGAATATCTGGACACTGGAAGCCCTAAAGAACGAGAGCATGCAGTGGTTATCCTTTTAGCAGTATGTTCCCATAGTTCTGAGGATTGTTTACTTGTAATGAAGGAAGGTGTAATCCCTGCCCTTGTGGACTTGTCAGTAAATGGAATTGATGAAGCAAAAGGTTGTTCAATGAAGCTACTTCATCTTCTCAGGGATCTGAGGCGAACCGACCAGTTGAACAACTCATGTTCACAAGAAGTGGTTGTCACAGATGTAGTGGAGGGTCCTCCTGACAGTTCAATTCACAAGCAGCCAATACCAAAGTCATCTCGTTTTTTCCAAAGAAAGTTGAACATTTTCTCAAAGCCCCGGTCACTTACGCTATTCTGAAAACTGGTAAAGATCGATCTAGTAGTCCTTGTATATTTTATAACACTAACAGTTCTTTTGTATAGGGTGGTAGAGGCTGTATTGTCCAAAGGAAATGCTTGATGAGATGATCTTTTTCATCCTCATGTATTCCAGTAGAGTTTGATAAACTATTGTGATGCATCTTGCAGATTGCAGTTGTTTTGCATCTTGCTGCGTGTAAAAAGTAGGCTAGATATAGTTTTTGTATTTTTGTACTCTGCTGTAGTGCTGTTCCATTGACAGCTGGAAAGCCTGAAAACAAGGTTTTGTTTATCTTATCTGAAGTTCTGAAGAAAGCAGAACTGGTGATCCATCCCTTTGTTGGCTGTTACCTTTCCTTTTTTCCCCCTTTTATAGCTGGTATACACTGGCAGAGGTATCAGCTAATTCGGCCAAAGTCAAATAGGACCGGATTATTATTTAGATCTAACTTTCCAACTTGAATGGTAATTTCGACTGGACATTGGATTAGTGTGGTAACTTGAGGCTTATTAATCATCTCTTTGGGAACTTACACCCTTTTTCTTTATCAAATTATAAAATTTCTCATCCATGGCTAGCGCCAGGATGATTCAAGGTGGTGCCGGCTCCTATCCCGTTGGATCCTTACGGAGAGAGGGGAGGAGGAAGAAGGAGAGGAAAAGAAATAGGGGGCGTTGAGGAAGAGAAGGATCCTTATGGAGCTTATGGAGAGAAGTAGGGGCACCGAGGAAGAAGAAGGTGAGCCTCCCTTTCATATTAATCCTGTAAATGACGGTTATCTAAATATAATCTTTTTCCATGTTATATCAAGGATATACAAACAACCCATACAACAACACTCTTTTATAGTAATCTAGATTTATTTCGATAAATGTCTATATGATCGTCCGGTGACCAACAAATGGCAATCTTCTCTCTTCTTTTTCTCTCCTCTTCACCTAATAAAAAAAATCCATGTGGCATCTACTACTTAGATGCTAATATCACACCATAGGTTCCTGAAGAGGGAAGGTAACATGACTTCAATGCTAATTTATGATAATTCCCGTTATCAACAGCTACACTAAAAAAAAATATGACCACAATGCAAATTCTAAGGTAGGAGTGAGAGGCCCCTTTGATGCCCTTAGGAGGGTGAAGGCTGGTTGGCGGAAGGGTGCCGGTGCGGTAGAGTTCACATGCTAGCGTAAGCTGTTTGGTTTTTTTTTCTTTTGGGGGGGGGGGGGTGGGTTGCGGTGTTAGGGAGGGAGGGGAGGCTGTGGGTGAAAGGCTAGCTAGGCGCCTTTGGGTATCGCTTTCCCTCTTGGGGCCATTGTCATGAAGCCTACCCTCTTTCTCTCCCAGGAGGATGCTTCGGGTGAAAACTAGGTCCAATCCGTTGGATGGGTGGCGGCGGTGCTTCTAGCGTTGTGATATCCCTAGAGGCATCGTCTAGGAGGTCATGTTTCTGTCTCTTCTCAGCTCCATTTTGTCTGACCTTCAGCGGTCCTCTTGGATGTTGCCACCGGGGTTGCGGGAGGGACGAGTGGATCCTTCTTCTCTCTTGCCCTCCCCCTCGTCAACCTCTTTGTGTAGAGACGTCTGTGAGTTCGTTGGTGGCCAATAGCTTGGAGTTGAGGTTGGGCAGTGTGCGTATGCCTGAGCTGTTGCGACCGACAATGTATAGTGGCGGTCGACTCGGTATTAGTTCTTTCCTCAAGCTAATGTTTGGGAGTCGTCAGTTTTGTGGTGGTGTGCTTTTTCCTTTTTACTGATTGTTACCTTATAGAGTTGTAATCTTGTACTCCTGTTTGGTGTGGTTCGTTTCAAAAACAATGCAAAGTTCTCCTGGTCAGCTGGAGCTGTTCTGTACCCCTCTGAAGATGTCTACCATCACCACAATGCAAGACGCGATCATGCCAGTCTCTTTTGCATTCCAGATCAATCGTTGAGTGCACAGATTCTCTGAATCTGTCTCGAGCAATCGCTTGGAAGACTGCACATTTGTTCCCTTGTTCCTTTTGTCATCCCACTATCGCTAACAAAAACCATAGTTATGTCAGCTTCACTCATCATGATGATGGCTCAGCTAACCCAGCACAGGTGTAGCTCACTGACTCGAGGCCGCCGGGCCGTCAGTTCAATCGTACGTTCACCGGATGAGTGGAACCTTGGCTGCACCATCAGTCCATCCCTTTCCGAATTCTCCTGAATCAGGTTCAGGCACGCAAGCACATTCTCATTCTGAAATCTTGTCACGTGCGCTATTGAATTCCATAAGCAGTATGGTTCAAATAAAAAAGAACAATTAAGAATAGAACAACATCGTCTCTACTCTAATACCATATTGAGTTTTATGTGCAGATTATATCCATCGGATGACATGAAAATCTTTGGTAGTTTTGAATTTCATTTCGTGGTGGTTCTGAATTTTCAGTTGGTGCCACAAGATCTGCTCCTGAGTGCTCATTTGCACCAACAATGGACGAGAAGCAAGTGGGGGCAATAAAAGTCGCAGACACACTTGAACCTTCCTGACGCCCATTCCAGTTATGGCCACATGGGGGCTACACTGCCGCTACTACAATGTACAATCCTGTCCAATCTGGCGAACGTTGATTGTGTCCTCTTCTTCCCTTGCATGCAAATATGCAATGCTTTGCCCAATTGCCCAAGCCCAGGTGCAGCGCACGGTGACCCGGGCATGTCTTCGTTTTCTTCCTCTGGGTGCAAAGGCATCAACGCAGCATCCACCAGCGCCATGAACACGATGAGATCCGTGTCACTCGCCTATGCCGCCAGCTTGACCGCCGGTGCCCATTCCCCTGCACTGTCAACTGTCAGAGCGCATGCGCAAAACGGGCAGATCCGTCGTATTTGCAGTAGTAATTACACTTGCAATTGCATGCGCAATTTGCACCGCACACGGATTTGGCAGATTAAGGTGTTGACGTGTTGTTTGGTTTGATCAGTGTGCTCTCGCTCGCACTATCACACATGGCTGGCCTGGATTTTTCACAATTTAGTCCTTTTAAAAAACTTATTTTATAAATATACTTCTGAAAAAACTTATCTCAAAAATAGTATTTTTTGGACGCTAGAGCCACTGGCGACGTCGCCCAACGAGAGGGCGCCAGCCTCTCTGGCGTCGTCCTCCTGCCACCGTGGTGGGTTGGCGCTGAGGTGGCAGGAGGGCGGCGCCAACCCGGCATTTTTTCTCTCTAGTGTAGAGGAGAGAGATGTGCATCCTTCTTTATTATTATTATTATTATTATTATTATTATTATTATTATTATTATTATTATTATTATTATTAAAGAAATAGAAAAAGGAGTCTCCACGTTCGCTCTCATGGCCTAGAAATTCTCACATTAATCGGAGAAAAAGAAAAAGCAGAGTCCATATAGAAATACAATTTAGAAATAGCTTAAATTCGAAATTAAAAAAAAAGAAATATTAGAATAGGATACTAGAGTCCATATAGAAATACAATTTAGAAATAGTTGAAATTCGGAATTAAAAAATAAGGAATATTAGAAGAGGAGACTACAGTCCATATATAAATACAATTAGGAAATAATTAAAATTCGGAATTAAAAATAAGGAATATTAGAAGTAGAGTATATAGTCCATATAGAAATATAATTAAGAAATAACTGAAATTCGAAAAAGAAGCCTCCACGTTTGCTCTCATGGCCTATAAATTCTCACATTAATCGGAGAAAAAGAAAAAGCAGAGTCCATATAGAAATACAATTTAGAAATAGCTTAAATTCGGAATTAAAAAATAAGGAATATTAGAAGAGGAGACTACAGTACATGTATAAATACAATTAGGAAATAACTGAAATTCGGAATTAAAAATAAGGAATATTAGAAGTAGAGTATATAGTCCATATAGAAATATAATTAGGAAATAACTGAAATTCGGAATTAAAAATAAGGAATATTAGAAGTAGAGTATAGATTCCATATAGAAATGCAAGTAGGAAATAATAGAATTTTGGAATAAAAAATAAGAAATATTAGAAGTAGAGTATAGAGTCCATATAGAAATACAATTAGGAAATAATAGAAATTTAGAATTAAAAATAAGGAATATTAGAAGTGGAGTATAGATTTCATATAGAAATACAATTACGAAATAATAGAAATTCGGAATTAAAAATAAGGAATATTAGAAGTAGAGTATAGAGTACATATAGAAATATAATTAAGAAAAAAAAGAAATTCGGAATTAAAAAATAAGCAATATTAGAAGTAGAGTATAGAGTCCATATATGAATTTAAAACTAACTAAAATTTGGAATAAACAAAATAAAATTAAAAGTAGAGTTTAGAGTCCGTATAAAAATACAATTTATAAATAACTAAAATTCAAAATTAAGAAAAACATGGGAAGAAGAGTTTAAAGTCAATATAGGAATACAATTTAGAAGTAACTGAAATTCGAAATTAAAAATTAAAGAATATTGAAAGATAAGTTTAGAGTACACATAGAAATACAATTAGAAATAATAAAAATTCAGAAATAAAAATAAATAATATTGGAAGAAGAGCATAGAGTCTATATAGAAATACAATTTACAGAAAATTCAGAATTAAAAAAAGAAATATTAAAAGACGAGTCTAGAGTCCAGATAGGAATATATATAATTTATAAATAACTAAAATTTGATATTAAAAATAATTAATAACTAACACATATATAAAATACAATATGAATATTACACATTAGTAGTTTTGTAAAGTTATTGCAAAATTTAAAATTATGTTGTCATTTTAATATATTTGAATAATACAATGAGAAAACATATATGCTATTATATGAGAGAAAATATAATGATGTTAGCCGTGTAATCTGCGTGGGCCGCCATGCTAGTTATTATTATTTAAGTAAAGTCCATCACCAGTCTCTAAACTTGTACCGCTGTGTCATCCCTGTCCTTAAATTCGCAAATCGACCGTTCAGGTCCTCAAACTTGTTCTACTGTGTTATCCCGGTCCCTATACTTGCAGATCACTCGTTTAGGTACTCCAACTTGTTCAGTTGTGTCACCCCGGTCCCTAAACTTTGATTTGAGTATCATCTGGGTCAAATAGGACGGTCTAAAGACTTTATATTTAAAAATAATTCATATTTTTTTCACGTGAACTCTAATGAAGACAAACTTTATATCAAATTTGTAGCCATCGACGCGATCTACATCTTTGTAGTTGATTTTTTATTTTATTTTAAGTCATTTTTTGTCCCAAAATGTAATTTTAAAATTAAAATTTCAAAATTATAAACATGCAACAATATTTTGGGACCCTAAACAGTTTTAATTCAAAAACTTTTCAACTACAAAGTTGTAGGTCACGTCGAGGGCTACAATTTTGATATAAAGTTTATCTTCATTAGAGTTCACATGAAAAAGTTATGAATTATTTTTTGATATAAAGTTTTTAGACCGTCCTGTTTAGGGACTGGGGTGACACAACTGAACAAGTTGGAGAACCTAAACGAGTCATCTGTAAGTTTAGGGACCGGGATGACATAGTTGAACAAGTTTGAGGACCTGAATGGTCGATTTATGAGTTTAGGGACCGGGATGATACAACGGTACAAGTTTAGGGACCGGTGAAGGACTTTACTCTTATTATTTTTTTCCACACTTAGTAGCACACAAGAACCAACCGTAGAAAAATTAAACTCAAATGCATGAAATATGTGACTTGTTTCAAAGCTATACCGACCCCCCCCCCCCGGCGCGCATGCTCTTCCTGCTCTTCGTTATTTTGGTTTTTCCTATAATAAAAAAACATATTAGATTTCGAACACTTTTAGCCTTTTTTTTACATCTTTTACATCATTAAAAAAAGTTATGGTCTGTATTTTATTTGTTACATT